AGTGTGCTGTTCTGTTTTATTTGTTTAAGATCAAATCTCTAATCTGTACCATACTAAATTGCCATTCATAAAATGTGGTACAGGATTAAGAGACATATACTAAACAAAGGAACACGATTTCTCAAGATGAGTTGAAAAAATCTTTGAAAGTTGATGAATAAATAATTTTAAAAAGTATTTTTAGTAGTTCCATAAGTTACTAAAATATCTACAACAAAGAGAACTGTCAAATATAATGAGAGCGGAGGTAGTGAGACTAAACTAACTAAAGTGACTACGTGCAACAGAAAGCATATAAAGTTTGAAGTTGATAATTCTAGAAACAAAAATATGAACGAATTAGTTACAACTACGGAGGTAGCTTTCAGAAGTACTAAAAAGAAACTCTTTATTTGAGCTGCTTTAACAGAGATTAATTTGTCTCTAGCCAACAGGATTAAGAACATAGGAAGGTAATGTAGTAATTTTTGTTTTCCATTATAAATATGTTTACAGTCTTACACTAATCATTTTCACTAATACTATACTCTCCCTAGGTGACTTTAATGATTAACCATATTGGGAAATTTTTGAGCTATCAAACACTCTATGTTTGAATGTGTTTTATACCTGACTGCAAAGCAATCAGCCCATGTTATTCTCTCTTATCCACAATCAAATTAAAAAAGCCCATGCCACCAACTGGTATGAAATGAAGATGAACTGTGTTCACAGCAAACTGACACTGAGCAACTCAAATGTTGGATTTAATAAGAAATTCCCTGATTTGAGACAAGTTGGATTCTAGCAAATAAGGTATTTACCTATACTATGTATAAATGCTGAGTGGAGATAGATTCAAGGAGAAAGGAGTACAGAGTATGAGGGATGACATTACTATATTTAACTACTGTTTCTAAAGTTCATGATTTACAACAATTGCAGTATCTTTATTCTAATATCAGACTAAGATGATATTTTCTATAAGTTCTAAGAGATAATCAGTTAGTTAAATGATCCCTTACTTTACTAGTGCCTTTAAAATAATTGTTATGTTTATATGTAATATTCATAAATTGGATCATGTTGAGTCCATTTATAACTTTACAGTACTGAGTGGTCAAATTCTGCATATGAGAAATCCTTTCACTTGTTAAAGGATTCTATAATTTTCCTCAGGATTATTTTAAAAATTTTAGCATGTGAGACTTATATGAACTTTATAAAAATTGTTCCTAGGTATTTTGTGTACAGTTCTAGCTACTTTACATGATTGTATATTTAATTTTTATTTCCTTTGCTGCTTCATTAAAATACATTTTAATGTAAGAACAGAATTATCAAACAGAAGCACATGGGAAATGATGGGATTTGCAAACACTAGTAAAGAATAAATATCATCATATACTTGTATCAGGGAAAAGAGGCTTGAAGTAAGGTACATTACTAATAAAATGAACCATTCCACAATGAAAAAAGGCTTGGTCCACACTTGGAAAACTAAAGAAAGAAAAATCAGAAATTCTAATAGTGTTATTCTTTTTTTTTTTAAGCTGGGGATTGAATTCAGGACCTGCGCTTGCAAGGCATTGAGCTTAATCCCTGGCCCTCTAGTGATGCAATTCTAATGTCTTACTCAATAGTATTAAAACAATGACCCAAAAATTTTATTAAGCATATGAAACATCTAAATAAAAAATAATAAATTAGTCATAATTGAAATTTATATATGACATGAACCTGCAAAAATGGACAAGATGTTGTTTAAGATACATTGGAAATTTGTGATAATATTATAAAGGAAACTTCAGCAATTTTCAATAATTTAGAAATTTTACCATATGTTTATTGACTACAATGAAATTATGACGATATTGAACAAAGGAATAGCTAAAAATGTATACAGAAAAGAAACAGAAGTCTGATATCTGTAAAGTTAACAAGTACTTCTATGTAATTCATAAGACAATGATAGAATGAAACACAAATTGTAAAATATTTGAAACTCAATATTAGTGTAAATTTGATCACAAAAACTTGTGAGATACAATCAGCTAATAAAGGGCTTAGAGAGAAATTTTGAACATATATACATTTCAAAATGCAATATGATTTGAAATATTGATTCATGCTTCACCTTCAGAAAAGTTGACAAAAGCAAAGAAATTTATATCAAAGTCTAGTGAATAAAACAGTTATTATAATCTAAATAGCACACAAATATATTTCATAAAATCAAAGTGGCCAAAAGTTAATTTATAAAAATTGATTAATAAATTTATGTAACTTGTTGAATGAGCAAGAAGACAAAATACGCATGGCTTATTCATACTGGGAATAAAATAAATTTCTTCATGATTTGTTATATATAATAATTCATTACAATAAACTAATGCAATTCACATTGTCATTTGAAAAGTGGTAAATATGTTGAAATTTCAACTTAGAACAACTGAGAAAAAAGAAATCTGATTATTGAAATCTATTAAAAAATTCAATCCACTACTAAAAATTCTTACACAAAGAAAACCTCAGGTCTAGATCACTGCACGGTTGGCATTTCCAAATTGTTAAGGAAAGTGTTTTTGAATCTATTGAAAAAAATTAACTTTTCTGAGATTTATGTTGCTGCACACATTTGTGATTTGTTCCTTTTAAAATACTGAGTAGTATTGCATTATATACATTACCACAACTCATTTTTTTTTGTTCATCTATGAATGAGCATTTGAATAACTTCCACTTTGGAGTAATCATGTATAAATCTGCCATGCACATTTTTGTACAGATCTGTGTATACACAAGTGCTTATATTTCTTTTGGGTGAAAGCAGAGGCACAAATTTGTTGGATTACATAGTAAATGTCTGTTTCAATTTATAATAAATTGCCAAGCTGCTTACCAAAGTGGTTGAACAGTCTTCCACTATCCACAAATTTGGTGTAACACCAGCTACTTCTCACCAACATTTGACACTGTCAGAGGTTTTGGGTTTTTAAAAACCCATCCTAGGGCTGGGGATTTCGCTCAGCGGTTAGGAGGCCTGCCTTGCAAGTGCAAGGACCCGAGTTCAATCCCCGGTACAAAAAAGAAAAAAAAAAAAAAAAAAAAAAATTCTAGTGTAAGTGTGCAAAGGTATCTTGTTTTCTTCACTGTTGAATAATGACATGGATTTATTATTTTTCACATATTTTGCCTATTTTAAAAGCAAAATAATATTTCTATTTTGCTTATTAAATTTTTTCATCATTATACTATTACTTATAATATATTTTATATATTTTGAAGAATGTCCTTTCTTGAATGTATAGTTTTCACTTGGTTTTACATGTCTTTTGAAAAACAGTTTTCCATACACAAATATAAATTTACTACTTTTATGGTTAGGCTTCTTGTTTGTCTTTGTTTTTATTTGTATTTTATGGGTGTATGTATGTCCTTCTTAAGACGTGTTAAATTTCTCCAACATGTCAAATAATCTCTTTAGTAATTTCTTCCAGATATTTTATCTTAACCTCTTTGCTTATATGTATGAATTTAAGTTAATTTTGCTGTACAAGGAAGGTATAACTTTTTAGATTTGTTTTATAGTTCGTATTTTTAATAGTTCAAATTTTTTCAATTTGTTATTTTACTTTGGTATATGCCATGATTAAATCATCTTTTCACAATTAAAGATACTAGGTGACAACATGTAGAATTCTGTGTTTCTCCAATGTATTTTTTTGCTTCATTCTGTCTCTTCATGAAACAAAGGACTTTGTTTTCCAAATGATAGAATGTTAATAAGTAAAAACACTACAGTGACATAGCTCATTATCTTGTTGTTGAGTCTCTGCCAATTTTATTGTGAAGTAGGGTTTCACTTTTATTTCTCAAATACAGTTATGAAGTTAAGAAAAAAATATTAGTTTACTTGTCCAAGGGTGTCAGTACATGACAATGTATAAGTATGAATGTAGGTATTTTGACATAAGGCCTGGCCACATAACCACTGATGATCCTACTTCCCTCAAGTAATGATCTAAAAACCATAAACTGGGCCAACTGTGGGTCAATCCATCCAGTAGAATGGATAAAGGCTCCTACAGATGTCTTTTAATTTTAATAATATTTGAAAATCTGAGGATTTTATGAAAACTAGATTTTCTTGTAATTATTGAAATGTCTGAAAATAATACCTTCATCCATCCCTGCAAGAAATTAAATTGTTTTTTAAACATTACTCCCCATAGAAAAAGTTTGTTCTCTCCAGGATATCATTCAAGTCAGTTTTATTATTTGATCTTGACTTCTCTGAATATTTAAGTTTGCAAGAAGAAAAATTGGCTAGAAAATAATATAAGAGAGAGAGACACACACACTTCAAAAGAACTGAAAATAAGATAGAGACACTTGAAAAGAGCTCAATGATTATAAATATTGCTAAAGTAACCTAGGTGTCATAGCACACACCTGTAATCTCAGCTGCTCAGTAGGCTGAGGCAAGAGGATTGCAAGTTGGAGGCTAGCCTAGGAGACTTAAAGGTTCCTATCAGAGAGAGAGAGAGAGGAAGAGAGAGAGAGAGAGGAAGAGAGAGAGAGAGGAAGAGAAAGAGAGAGAGGGGTTTGGAGATGTAGTTCAATGAAAATTCCCTGAATCCAAGCTTAGTGCTGAAAACATTTTTAAATGAAAAAATAAAGCTTAATAAATATTAATCCTAAATATTAGATATTTAACAAAGCAGTTTTCCAGTAAAATTATGCATATATGTGTATACATAATGAATTTGTTATAAATACACTGATATAAAGAATGTATAAGTTGTAATTTACAACTGACAATAAACTGTATTATACTTTAAAAAAATAAATATTAATCCCGGACACATTTTACTCATATAAACCAGCCCATGTTAAATAATCATATAGAAATCAGGGAAATACTTAACTACAAATATGAGAACTCATATGTAAATGGAAAAGAATAATGTAGTACCTTCAACAACCAAGTCTTTCTCTCCTTCACAAATCACACAGAGGACATGGTAGCAGGAAACCATTCCACAGTCACCAAGTTCATCCTGGCTGGGATCTCAGCGCAGCCAGAACTCCAACTACCCCTCTTCCTGCTCTTCTTGGGAATCTATTTGGTCACAGCGGTGGGAAACCTGGGCATGATCACCCTCATTGGACTCAGTTCTCACCTGCACACCCCCATGTACTATCTCCTCAGCAGTCTGTCCTTCATTGACCTGTCCTGTTCCACTGTGATTACCCCAAAAATGATGGTGAATTTTGTGATGGAGAAGAACATCATCTCCTACCCGAAGTGCATGACTCAGCTCTACTTCTTCCTCATTTTTGCTAATGCAGAGTGTTACATGCTGGCTGTAATGGCTTATGACCGCTATGTTGCCATCTGTAGCCCCTTGCTTTACAATGTCACCATGTCTCATCAGATGTGCTTTTCCTTGATTTTAGGGGTGTATATAGTAGGTGTGGTTTGTGCATCAGCTCATACAGGTTGCATGATTAGGATTCATTTTTGCAAGTTGAATGTGATCAACCATTACTTTTGTGACCTTCTTCCTCTCCTAAAACTCGCTTGCTCTAGTACATATATCAATGAGTTGTTGATTTTATGCTTTGGTATATTTAACATCTTTGCCCCAAGCCTCACCATCCTTACCTCCTACACCTTCATCATCGCCAGCATCCTATGCATTCGCTCCACTGAGGGCAGGTCCAAAGCCTTCAGTACTTGCAGTTCCCACATCTTGGCTGTTGCTGTGTTCTTCGGTTCTGCTGTATTCACGTACCTGCAGCCCTCATCAGTCAGCTCCATGGACCAAAGGAAAGTGTCCTCCGTGTTTTATACCATTGTTGTCCCCATGCTGAACCCCCTGATCTACAGCCTGAGGAACAAGGATGTCATTGCTGCCCTGAAGAAAATGCTAGAGAGAAAATTATTCCAGTGAGTAGAAAGTGAAGATGTTTTATTAGATCGAAATCAGTTACCATTATATGTCGTGAATTAGTTTTGTTCATTTTAGTCCATTTGTCACTATGTTCACTCATTTGCTGTATTTTTGAGATATTTCTTATTACTCTGGTGTTTTTTATGCGATTTTTCTATGTGGAATTTTATCTCATATGTATCATAGAGACAGGTGAAAAAAATGCTAAGGATAGTATGGATTTATACATCCATTAATGCCAATCTCATCACCTTACTTCTCTTCTTTCATAAGACTGACTAAAATTCAGGACCAAATTATAATGAAAATGACATTTTCCAAAAGTGGCTACCAACCTCCTCTCTTCCACATTTGCAAAACATCTGAAAACATAGTGATATCACGGCTATAACTTCTATACTGGGGCCTAATCAAGCCCAGAAAAGTCCCTTTTCTGCCCTACTCTTTCACATGACTTGTATCTTCATTTGTCTTTGAATTCAAAAACCCAATTATTATTTTAAAATATAATTTAAATCATGTGTGTTGAGTTTGTATGCAATTCAATATTTAGACCATTTTTTTATTTGTTCTAGTTTTTACTTGGTTGTTTTTGTCCAAACCACACAGGAAAGAGATTTCTGTAGGTTTCCTTAGTAGTTACAGCTCTGGCTACAGTTCCATAATGTAGAATACTTTCCATCTACTATTAATCCTTGATAAGTTTCTTATTTTACCCTTATGAAATATTTCAAGGACAACTGTATGCATCCCATACTATCTGTATGCACTGATGTCTCACTAACATCTTCCAGGGACTATCTATATTTCAAACATTGAGTTTAACTAAATTTAATCTAATTTAAATTTTATAATTAAAGCCCCCAAATTAAATTTAATTTTGGTGAATTCTTCAAGGATCTATAAAATGATAATGTTCTGAGAAAGTATATATAAAGTTTTAGAAATATCAAGCCAAGCCAGGCCTGTTGGCGCTAGCCTGTCATCCCAGCACTCAGGAGGCTGAGGCAGGAAGATCGCTGTGAGTTGGAGACCAGCCTGGGCTACATAGTGAGTTTCAGATCAGTCTCAAGTACATAGCGAGACTCTGTCTCAAAAAACCACAAAGAAGAAGAAAAAAAAAAAAGAAATATTAAGCCTGAGCTCCTTCTATGGCAAATCTCAGTACAAGTGTGATAATTCTAAAAAAACTGTCATATTGCCCAATTCAGCATACCAAGGAGATTAGGCCTCTTTGCTTAAAAAATTCTATTGTTACTCTAATTCTTTTCCACTTGAAGTTAGGTAAATGATTTCTCCAAACTATTGGCTTATTTACTGTGATCAGAGAACTGCAGGATAATTAGAGAAATCAATGTGCCAGAATCTCTCTTAGAAAAATATACCTTTCAAGGCTGTAGAGATGAAAAATCATTTCCTCAGAAAATTCATATTAGAAAATCAAACTATTTTTCCACATTAAAACTCTCTCTCCTGCCAGAAAAATTGTTCCATTTATTCTTAGCCTATGTTGTTTGCTGCTGTGCTTCTTAACTTATGCTGCTGCTTGATGTAATCACTTATATGTTTGTTCTTTTTAATACCCTTTCTTCAGTGGACTCTATGCCCTGTTTTGGTAGCGAATACTCACATACTCATAGTCATACCAAATTCCTTTATTTCTCCTTCTCATTTAGTGGACATGGGGCATGATGCTCTGTGCATGCTCTCAGTGGGTACATTAAATTTCAATCTGTAAAATGAACATGTTACTTTTACTCTGGAAATTAGATCTATATGCCAAAGAGGCATATTCACTGTGATATTTACTGTAACACTATTCATGAGAGACAAGATGAAAGAGAGTCATCTGATGAAAGGATAAAGAAAATGTATTGTATGTATACAATGAAATACTATTCAGCCTTTAAAAAGAAATACTTCCCCCACCAAAAAAAAATAAATAAATAATAATAAGATGAGGGCCGGTTATTTAACTCAGCGGTTCAGTGGCCTGCCTTGCAAGTGAAAGGACCTAAGTTCGATCCCCAGTACCCCCCCCAAAAAATAAAAATAAATAAATAATAATAAGATGAGGGCCGGTTATTTAACTCAGCGGTTCAGTGGCCTGCCTTGCAAGTGAAAGGACCTAAGTTCGATCCCCAGTACCCCCCCAAAAAATAAAAATAAATAAATAAATAAATAAATAAATAAATAAAAAGAAATACTTCCATTTGTGACAACGTGGCTTGCCCTGGAAGATAGTATTATATTGAGGGAAATCAGCTAAACACAGAAAAACAAATACGTCATGATCACACTTACATATGTTGGATCACATTGCAGTTTTATGTTTATCCACCAGCAGCACACAAGGTTTCCTTTCTCCCACATCACTTGTCTTTTTTTAGTACATCCATTCCTGCAAGTATGAAGTGATATATAATTGTTTAGTTAATTTGCATTTCTCTGATGATTATTGATTTTGAAAATTTGTATGTTTTGTTTCAAAAAATGTCTATTGGGACTCATTCCCTTTTTTAATGGCATTGTTTCTTTTCTTTTTATTTTAATAATTTGAGTTCCTTGTATATTTATGACTTGTATGTCCTCCAAATATAATTTTATTAAGGAAACTATTGCAATTGTTGCCATCAAATGTTATAACATTTTAATATTTTGCATAAAACTGTAAACATAAATTTCATTTCTAAGGTTATCTATACATAGAACCAGAATGATCTGTATAATTTATATGTTTCCATTGGTCCTCCACATTTTTTTATTTTTAAAAGAATTAAAAGTCATCATCTCTCCTTGTTTGTTTCCTTAGAAACTCCTTGTATGTTTATGGCAATATCTATACTTTCTTTCATCCTCTATGTTAAAATTTTCCAAACTGTACCATTGTGTGATATTATTCTGACATTTAGCATAAATATAAATAAATTGAAATAAATATGTCCAAACTTTAAGTAGTGCATATATTTCCTTAGAGGAGCTATAACAAATTACCCTATCAGAGATGGCATTAAAAAATTCAAAACTATTATTTCATCGTCCTGAAAGCTATCACTTAAAAATCAAGGCATCAGCAAAGTTAATTCCTTCTTGGTATTTTTTTCTAATTCCTTGAAAAATGTTCTTGATATTTTGGTAGCAATTAGCAACTGCATTAAAGCTATAGACTGTTCTGAATATTATGGACATTTTAATAATACTGATTCTTCCAGACTATAAGCATAAGATTCCTTTTCACTTTCTGTGTCCTTTTTAAACTACTTTCATTTTTAAAAATAATTTCCATTGTAAAGATCATTCACCTCTTTGGTTAAATTTATTCCTAGATATTTTTGCACATAGTAAAAATATGATTGTTTTCTTGATTGTTTTTATTTCAGAATATGTGCTATTGTCTACAGCAACACTACTTATTTTGGTCTGTTGATTTTGTACCCCAAAATTCTGTAAAATTTATTTATATAGTTTTAATAGTGTTTTAGTACATAGAGTTTTCTATCTATAAGATCATGCCATCTGATTACAGTGATCATTAATTGACTTTTATTTCCAATGTGTATACTTTTATTTCTTTATTTTTCCCTTGATTGCTCTGGCTGGAACTTTCAGGACTACATTTATTAAAGTGGTGAAAATGGGAGGCTTTTCTTGGTAGCGGGGATCGAACTTGGGCTCTTTCATTTGCAAGGCCTACACCAGAACCACTAAGCTAAAACCCCAGCCCAAAAATGGGGATTCTTGATTCAGATCTTAGAGGGGAAGTTTTTAGCTTTTCCCCATTCAGTATAATATTTTTATTTGTCTATTTGTTTGTTTGTTTGTTTGTTTTTGGTACAGGAGATCCATCTTGGGACCCCAGGCGCTGAAACTACTGAGCTAAATCCCCAGCCCTTATAATATTGACTATTGGTTTACATTACATGGCATTTATTTTGTTGAGGGATGTTCCCTTATTCCTAACTGTTCAGGATTTTTATTTTAGAAGAAATAAAATTATGTTGAATTTTATCAAATGTCTTTTCTGAATCTATTAGGAAGATCGTATGTATTTGCCCTTGACTCTGTTGAAGTGGTATTATCATATCTACTGATTTGTACATAGTGAACAATCCTTGCATTCCCCAGCATGCGTTCCATTTGTCCATGGTGTGTGATCTTTTCTTTTTCCCTTTCTTTTTTTTGGGGGGGGCTGGGTACCAGGGATAGAACATGGGACCTTGTGCTTACCAGACAGGCTGCGGCATCATTGAGCTAAATCCATGGCACATGAGTGATCTTTTTAATGTGCTATTCAGTTCAGTTTGCTAGAATTTTGTTCATGATCCTTGCATGTGTATTTAAATTCTGAATTTTTAATTACATGAATCACTCTGAAGCCCTGACAATCTCTGGCACATCCTAGTTTCTAACTCATGGTCAACAAAACAAACAAATCATAGCTATGTGAAATATTAACTATTAGGAAATAAATAGAGATAAAGAAAACCTTTGTTTCTTTTCCCTAGAGTTGATAATTTGGGGACATAATTCTGGCAGGAAATCATTAACATTCTTCTTCTTACAATAAATCCCTACTCTTTATACCTAGAGTACATCTGAATTTTTATGATGTAAATATAACATCATACCCAGCCAAACTCCTAGGTGGAGCTAGTAGTTCCGGAGCCCTGGCTTCATTAGCTATCAACATAAGTGACTCAAAATAATTATAAAGGAAACTGGTAAGCCATGATCTCACCAGCCCCAAAGGTCATTGAAAGGTTAGTACTCAGTATTCTCTTCCAGCATTCTCAAAGCCTTTATTTCTCCAGTTTAAAGGAATTCCACTTCAATCTGTGGGAACAAGGAGGATATGTCTATATTCTAATTCTTGATTTTTAAAACCTTAGAATCCTCTGTCTGAGCTTCTTTACCAGTGCATGGTGATCCACATAGTTACTTATACATCTCTACCTGTCCTGATTCCAAGTCCACTGCCTAATGGTGACACATTTCCTTAC